CACCTCTTTGTGGACAGTTGTATACATTTCACTGGAAACTGGTGCTTTAATGAAGTAACGTTTTCATCGGCTGGAACAGCTTCCAGTCGTCGACATCTCCTTCCCTTTTATTTTTGAGAAAATATTGGATGTAACGATGCCTTGCATTTAATTTTACACCTTTTTGGAACTATATAAGACGTGGCTTCGCCTCCCCCTCCTTTTTTTCTATATTTCCCTGTACTGGTTAAAGTTGGTAGGCCCTCCATGAAAAACAGTAGTGAGCGCATTCGAAAGTTAAACCGTTTACGTAATTCTCGCGAGACATTTTGAAGTAGCACTTAGGAGAAGCTGCCTGTTGGTAAGAAATTCTCGACCACTTCGAGAGATGACCACGTGATAAAATGTTCAATTTGAATGAGTGTTGTGCATCGAAACGAGATCTTGCCATTGCATAGTTTCGCTGCTAGATTAAGTGGTCAGTACAGTTTAAGTATGGGGCGGCTCAGGTTTGGCTGGGGACTGGACTAGTTAAGACTGTTGTCTGTGCCGGTCCTGATCAAACATGTACTCCTTACCTTTGTTTAGGTGGAGGAGGGAAGAAATTGCAGTCCAGCTAGGTTCGGGTTTGCGAAGAGGAATAGCTACATAGTTTTGGCTCTCTAATTGTGATCCGCATTTTGTGTTTTCAGGCTCATTTTACTCCGGTGATAGTCTGAGTTAGCTTTCGAAGTTTGTAAATGCTCTTTTTGACCTTAGGCTCTTTTTGACCCCATTTAAATTAAGATACCTGAACCATTTACGTTCCGCGAATGAAAAAATTCTCACTGCCAGCTGTCACTAAGAAATATGAACGAAAAGCTGCAGGAGATGGATGCACGAATTAAGTAAATGGCCTGAAAATCAGCGTTTGGGAAACGAAGGCGACGCAGAGTGGTAGTAAGGCTGACAGTCAGTTTGCATATGGGCGATGTTGACTTGAAAGAAATTTATGAATTGAGAATGTTTTCAGCAGCTCGTCAAGCCCCATTCACCGGCTTCATAAACCCGCATGCAGCGGCGGCAGCAGCAGCGGCAGCAGCAGCAGCAGCCGGGACCCTGGTGCCACAGCTCGTATCAATTCCGTTCATGGATGGCCCGATGCTTGCAGCGCAGACAATTCCGCCGGCACCGACTACGTGGACTTCAGCGACCACTTCACTGATGCCGTGGTCACTACCAAACGCAACAGCAGCACTGTTTGCAAATGATTTTATCCTACCAACACAGCTGCAAGCGACGCGCAGTGTTGCTGCACTGGCGGCTGCAATGGCGGCCAGTAACGGCTCGTTTTCCCAACTTTTGACGCCACAAATCAAGAATTATCCTGATTTGTCTAGTGTCGACCCAAGCGCGCTTCTTTGGGTTAGTCATTGTTGTTGTTTTCGTATTCCAATTCAGTGCACAGATTGCATTTTATCCACTTTCGCATGGTGATTTTCTCCAGAGGTGTTACGCTTTCATAAAATTAGACAAAAATACTGGCCCTAAAGCAGTAGCAACATGTTGAACGTGATTTTTTTACTCCCATCACTTTAAATATCAAAAGTTCAGTTTTTGCTCAACCTGCCGAGTTTGCTCAAAATACCTGAACTTTTGCCGTTCCCGGGCTCTTGAAGGAATCAGATTTTTACAGCAGTGATGATTCAGCGCACGGAAAATGTTTTAATTTGCAATGTGAATTACTGTTCTAGAATGAACTTGTGCAGCATCAGCAAATGCGTGGACGGCCGGCACCTGCTGCGCCGACAAATTCCAGTGCAAGCTTGACGGCCAATGCGGGCTTGAGTAATCTGTGCATGAGATCAGGTGCCAGTGGTCTTGCAAAAGATCCAGCAATCATAGCAGCGGGACCGCGGATGAGCAGTGCTGCATCCGGCCTGGAAACCCCGAAATATCAGCTTGAAGGAGCGAGGTAGGCTGCATTTCGAAACTTCTTTCTCCAGCGATTACCGCAATTCTCAACAGTGAGCTTTCTGGAAACTACACTGGTCACACTCACAAACCAGTTGGCTTTAGGAAAGGAAAATTTGCACTGAACTGGAGAGTCTGTGCGTAAAAGCACTTCATTTGAACAAGTCGCTGTTTTTTATGGGTTTTGTGCCGAAAAAGTTGCACAGAACGCATGTTTTCACCACCTTCCGCCTACCTGTGTGATTGTGTGTATGTCCGAGTGCATTTTGTTCC